CTCTGCCAAATACCTTTAAAAAGTATGTGCAAGTATACCTGAAGTATTGGTGCTGTTTTAAAAACAGATCAAGACAAATATGGATTTAGTTGTGGTTTTTGCCCATTATGTACTTTGCTTGTTAACTTATGAAGAAATAAATGTGTGTGACTAATTCAGTTACCTTGTAGAGATCTAGGCCACTGGTTTCTCAAGATCACACTGCCTTATTATGCATTTGTTTGTTCGCTTTAAGCCTCATCTGATGCTGATGATTTAACACAAATTCAGATGATTTGATTGACCAACAGAAACCATTGTCTTTCTTTGCTCTTGACCCCCTCTTTACCTCTTTCTTTGTCACACACACATACTCTCTCTCTCTGTCTGGCAAGCTGCTGGCAGGTCAGTCTGCCAAAGTGATCACATCCACAGCTACATCCTGAGCTTCAGGAATGTTATTTGTTGGGATGGAGTAGTGGTTCTTACAGCTGAGTCCTTTGTGGTTAGATGTGACTAGAAAAGGTGAGAAAAGGGTGCTGTGTTGGCTGGGAATAATTATTAAGGATCTCTGCAAGATACCTATTGTGACACTGTACTGCTTATATAAATATAGCCCAGAATAGGTGGTGAGTTTTTATACATTCACTAACCAACTCCAATCCAACTATCTGATGCTTAACATTTCTGAATTTCCAGCAAAGAAATCAATTACCAAATAAATGTGTGAATTATTGCAAATGTTTCACTTCAGTGGTGAGCCTGGGACTGCAGGTTTAGATTTAGGCCATTCCTACTTCACAACAGTGTGTATTAGTCCAACAGTATATTACTCCTGTCTTAGTATGTATGAATCCCCTGTCACACCAAGTGCACATGTGTGATATTGTGCAGAGCAAGGGCATTATTTTCAATTAATATGGCGCCTGCACTCTCCTGAGCAGTTGCAGAGCGTGCACTACTTTGATTCTTCACCAGGTTTTATGGCTAAAGGTTAACTAAATTGTACCTTGACATCCAGTCACATTACAGTGTTGACAGGAGGTGCAGGTTATGTTGGAGCCAGTTTCACTGCAGAGAAGAATGAAGAGGATGGATTTAGGAGTGTTTGAATGTTCAAGTTATATATCTCACTCTCACCTTTCTTTAAGCCTCTATATTTAAAACGTATAAATTCTATATGAACAAAATAATAAATGGTTTATAACACACTATAAGGTAGTTGTGTGCAGATACACAGTGATCAGCCATAACATTATAACCACATTAGGCAGCAAGTGTTTGACTTCGTTCTCAATGAAAATGAGAGATACTGTACATTGGTCACAATGAAGAGAAACATTCAAATTCAAAGGAAATTTCTGTTTTCATTTGCCCCATTTGTACTGTTGCAGGTTTTGGCCATTTATTAGGTATACTTTCCTAAAACAGATACGATCTAATATTACTACATTAAACCCTCTCTTCATGAATGTAACAATGTTCAGTTTTTGCTGAGAGTTTTTAGAGAGGTGTTAAATCAACTGCATGGCTATTTAAGAGCATGCAAACTATGCTGCTGTTGAACTGTATAGCATTATACTGACAGGTTTTTCAAGTATTTCAGCCACCATATTATAGGCTAGACTAAATAGTAAAAAGGCCGCTCTGTATAATGCAGTACAATTCTGCAGCAACACAAATTGACTATAAATTGAATCAAAAGCTCTCTGCAGCAAAAGCTGACATCATCACCTTCATGAAGGTGAATGTATTACAGGACTGTTGCATTATACCACATTAGTTTTAGCTAGGTGTACCTAATAAATTGCCAGCTGCTGCTGCCAACTGTTTTTTTATCACTACACTAAGCATGTCCTCTGACTGTTCAGTTGTCATACTCATGATGACAGAGGGTCTGATTCATTTAGTCTAACCCCTTCAATTATTCCTGTTCATTCACAGAGGTACTGAGGCCCTTGAGTTTCACTTCTGCTCCTTTACCATCCTAAGGCAGTGAAAGACAGGGTACCTGAGACAGGCACTAGAACTAGTGTAAGTTCTGTGTAAGTTTATTTAGTCATTTTATTTGTAGTTTAATGAGGGAATCTCTTCATCAGAACCACATACACACGAACATACACAGCTGAGCCTTATTTCAGAGACTGTAAAAAGTGATGGTCATTCTTAGCCTTTACACCTTTTTGTTGATATAAGTACCCCACATATTTTGTGAGGAAGACACAGCCAGTGCAGCAGTGTGCCTCCTTGCTGTGTTTTTAATTATATTTTTAATGGAATGTGCAAAGACCCATTTTTTATAATGTGTTATTTATTTAATGTTCAATATAACTGTATATAAATTCATAGCATTCCCATAAAACCGTTGTTAGTGAAGGTAACTTTTTCCTTTTGCCGTCTGGCTAAAGACCCATGATTTCAGTGCTGATTAGAATCAATATTTTATCATAGTGGTGATCATTAACTGAACTCAGCACATTTCATGATTCTGCACTTTTCTTTTTTAAAACCATGCAGCCAATGTGTAATGCTAAAATTAAAAAGAGAGCCAGTTTACAGAACAGTTAACAGTCTAATGCTGATGAGATGAGTCACAGCCCTCAATTTAATTACTGATGTGAACTGCTGCTGTCCCAGTGCATGTGTTGTATCATGATACAACCTGTCAGTGCACACTCCATATCCTCTTTAATTACGGTGGGTTAAAGTTATTGTGTCTAGTGTGTTTAGTCTATGTTGTCTAAAGCCTGCCCTGAGGGAGTCCCTTTTGGCCACTCTTTAATAGCTAGAGATATGTAATTCCTCTCCTTGTATGTTGCTTTCAATTACTGAGCCAGGCAGCCATTTATCCTGGAGGCAAGGTCCTCAGAGAAGAGATTCAGACAACAAAGGAGTGAAACACTTTAGAATTCTCCCCTCAGCTTGACCCTTACCCCTCAAACACCACTGTCAAAGATAAAGGGAGGTTAAAAAGGTTTGAAAACAGAGCTGCAGTGGGAGTGTGCTGCCATCACTGCCAGTCAAGATGCTTTACTGACTCAATATCATGAGCTATGGAAACATTAGGAATAAAAAACAAAATGTAGGAAATTAAACTACATTCATGCCATAATAGTCTGACTTCTTCCTACTCCATTCAAGCATGTACTAGGTATAAGCAAATTGATATTGGATTATGTGTAAAATTATGTGTGTTGTCATATCAACTGTTTTACATGCTTGAAAGAATAAATCAAATCAAATCAAATCAAATACTAATTTAAGAAAAGCAAACTTTCAAACATTATTCTATATGAACATAAGTAGATAAAGTGAAACCTTGGATTGCAATTCACCCGATTTGCGAGTGTTTTACAAGACAAGCAAAAAATTTTGATTCGATATACAAGCGAGGTCTCGCAATACGAGTAATACGTACGCTTTGTCTGCCGAGTACGTCACAACTGAGCCGATGGTTCTTGCGCTTCACTCGTATACTCAATATCTGTACTACAACAGTGGCCCCTCACACCAGCCACAATTCTTTTCAAAGGTAAAGTGCAGGTTCATTTGTTTTATTTTTACTTGATACTGTATTTTTTATTACTATAATTAGTTTTATATGGATAAGTGGGTGTGGAACAAATCATCTGAGTTTCCATTATTTCTTATGGGGAAATTCGCTTTGATATACGAGTGCTTTGGATTACGAGTACGTTGCCAGAACGAATTATACTTGCAATCCAAGGTTCCACTATACCATGAATGTTAGAAATCGTGGACATAGTGTGACATGATTACAGTGTTTTTGAATTGGTACTTTGTTGTCTTATAGAAAAGGAGCCACCTTTACAACAGGTAAGCAGTTAGTTTGGCTTTGAGCCATCCCTAAACCCAATTGAAACCTGGATTAAACAATTAAGATTATCTTGCGTGAACATGCATGAACACATTTTAATTGGCGGTTCATGAATTCTACACAGGAGGACCATTTTATGATGATCACAATCTATATTACTCAGTGTGTGTATTACTTTGTGAAAACAGTTGGATAATGTTGTGGCTCTATGAGGAGATTTGTCAAGTCTGAGGAAACAACCCCAGTGACATCATCTGGGAATAGGGTTTGGAGAACACACATTTATTAACAAAAAAGCAAACAAAGAGGCATGGGATTTGAAATACACATGTTATTACTAGACAGGGAGTTCCTAACACAAACACACTTTTGTGTTGGATGCTGGGGTTTTAGAGCTACACTCTAAACTGGGGCTAAAAGTCACAAGATTTCTGCCTCTGTTCATTCAGATTTGACCATTGCTCCACTCTATTTTTTTAATACTCTACCAGCTCCCAGACAGGTTGGAATATAAGTGGAGTAGATTGTGACAAACTGGATTGTACTGGCCTACAGTAACTTAAAAAATGAATTCAAGCTTCATTCCATAACAAAATCCAATTCTGGATACATGGTTCTTCTAAGAGAACTAATTCGTACTTCCCCTTTTGAACACCATGAACATTACTTAAATCAGCAACACCAAAAATACAGCCCACAGTGAAGAAGCTGGGGCCCCAGGCATCAGCTTGTCTGCTATCAGCTAGGGTGGGCCAGGTTACGCTGACCACCCTTCAGTAGTCACACAGCAGGTATACGAGCCACTGATTATGAATGAATAAAGCGGCTGATGCCAATCAGCTGATGCAAGTGCAGTTTCTGCCCTCTGCCTGCCTATGCTCCATTTAAATAAGACTGTGAAAAAGATAAACAGGTTTCAGTGTATTCATTCAACCACGGCAGCTTCCACACCCAAACTGTCCACTGTGTTTAATATTACCTTGTTTACCAGAATTCTTCCAGT